TGATGTTCCAGGATACATTTAATAGGGGTAAATTAATATTAAAAATATTAACTGTCATTCGCCCGACTTCTTCGAACAGAATACCCATCCATTGGCCTGCAATTCTGTAAGATTTTCAAAATCTTCTACGGAGTCAGATATATTTCCATTGGATTTCAAATAATCTTCAGCCTTCTCTGCATAACTTCGAGAGAATTAGCCATATTTCTAGTACAGATGAAATAACGGTTTATTTCCATGAGCATTGGGCAAACCTTAAATACTCATTTTTAAACCACGAGTACCAAAAGAAAATTACAAAATAAAGCACTTGTTAGCAAAAATGACTCCTATTTAATTAAATTATTGGAAAGAACATGTCTCATCTTTCAAGAATAATGCAATGCTGCAGGCAACCGAATCTTATAAGCCGCTGGAAACAACACGCAAAATCACAAGAGCTCGAAGAAACAGGAAGTTGTCGTGCGACGTCTCTGCAGCACGAATCGTACAGAAGGGAACACTGGAAGTCCCGCTTCGCTTCCCGCGTTGCACCTGGGTTGTACGTTGAGTGACGTTGGTGCCGGACTTAGCTGGCCAATAGCAAAAACCGAGCCTTCACGTAACCGCCTGATTTCCACGATGGTGGGGGAGCCGTGTGTAATTTGGTGGTGTAGTGTTAAACTTGACAGCGAAGTTAAATTTAGATACAAAATTATTGCGTTGATTTAGGTGTCTGCCCATATTTTACAACCTTTTTTGTCGGTGAAATATTCCGTTCATAGTTTCTTTTCGTCATGGAAACTACTTTAATCTTGGAATTTTTCTGAGTGCAGATTTTTTCATTACAAGAGTAAATGATTAAATCTATAGCTTTCCAGATACTTGGCATTGATAGCTTTAGAAAAATTAACGATTAAAAGAGAAGCTAGTTTTAATGAATGAAGTGGAAAGCGATATTAATTGGAAGGGTTAAAAGAAATGTTGAATTTTTTCTTTAAATTTCTTGTTGGAGGAGACTGAAATACACTTATAAAGATAACTTTGATTTGATTTTCATGGACACCACCACATTTTCAAAATTGGAAAATTTTGAAATTTGTTGGTGACTTCCTACAAATACAATATTAATGATATATGTTTTTTTAGCTAGAATAATTTTTCCACAATTAGTTCGTTAATAAATCTCATAATTTAAAAAAACAATATTTTTGTGCAATTTTCAATAAATTATGGGCAATATTAAAAACTATATTTTGTAAAAAAAATACTCCAGACTTTTTCTTCAAACATTTTGGATAGTTAGTGTGAAATCTGCATAACATTACATAAACACCATTTTGCTGTATTCTTTCAGTTTTTCAAAAATGTTTCATTTTATTATCTCTCACAACATTAATATTTTCATTATTGCATTTGTGAGTACAAGTACTTCTCATTATGTCAGATAAAGGTCTCGAAAACTCATGTTTTTTCTGTGAAAATATGCTCGAAATTCTGCATTTTTAGCAATGCTGGTACATTTTCTCTGAAATTACTCCAATTTTTTCCTTCAAACGTTTTATGCAGAACTAGTTCTAAACACATCACCTTTATAATATATTTTAGAAAGAAAACAACCCAATGTGCTAATGGAATGTTTAAATAATAGGTATGTTCTATAAAAGTTTTTGTAGTGCTTGTTAATTTTGAGCAAATTTTTCATAAATGAGGGTGAAGACAAATTGTTTGAATATTGAAGAAACCTATAAATACATGGTTATGCAATGAATGATACTGAATGTCATTGAGACAAATATATTCAACATTGGTCATTAAAAATAGCGTGTTAAAAAGATAAATTTTTCAGATAAAGGTGGGTTTGACAAGACAAAGCATGTTTGTTTCAAACAGTTTAATAAAGAGAAATGTTCAAGTATTAAAGGTATGGAAATATTGTATTTGAAGCATTAAAGGTAGGCCTACATGATTAGTTACATATTCATTACATATTTACATACATAACCACTATACAAAAAAGTCCACTAGCTTTACTATTTACTGGTAGCGTTTCAGGTTAAATGATCAATAAATATAATACCTTGGTTTATTATTATTGTCATTAACCTGACATAGAAGTACGTATTGTCATAACAATACGCTCGAAATTATTTATTTCCAAGCTACAGATATGACAAAGTTTGAAACTACCGCCATGTTCTCGAAGGGCCTTCTTTGTGCCTCCGCCCACATTGCCACTTTATTTTCCCGCGCATTCGATCGATCTGAATAAGGTTTCATCAAGTGAATCAGTCCACCGTCCTTGTAGTTCTTCGATGTTACGTCTGCTCCGCGGTGGCGCTAGTGAATAAAAGTAATCGACTTCGTAACTTAAGAATCATGAGAGCAAACCTAAGACCTCCGTAAATCACCTCACTTCACAACACTCTCAAGCACAAACATCGCAGACAATGAACTCAACAGACTCCATAGACGCGAATATACAAACACTCACAAAACACATGCAAACAGCCCATAGAAAGGCGACGCCGGTCTTCTGGCGCCCGCCCGAAGAGGGATCAAACACACCTGATGTCGAAGAGCTCTTGCGCGAAAAACGTAAGGCGAGGCGGCTCTGGCAGCAGTTTAGATGTCCCGCGCATAGAACACAACTGCGGGAATGCGAAAAACGCCTAAAATTGGCGCTCGCAAACCACCACGCAGAGGAGTGGGAAAACATAGAGAGATCGGTTCTGATCACTCCCGTAACGGTCTTTTCAAACTCCAGAAAGCGCTCAGGTCAGTACCAAAAACTGCAACCGCCATACGCGGCAACGACAATGCGGAGGGTAAACCAACTTACCTCTTCTCAGATCAAGCAAAGGCTGAATTCTTCGCCGACATACTTGAAGAGAGGTTTGTGAACAACAATACACAGGCGGAAGATGAGGAGGAAACAGAGGACAGCGCCAATACACTAACACAATGTACAGTCGAAGTTTTGACAAAATCAAATGCTTGCGTAGCCGCAAAGCGCCGGGCCCCGATCGAATAGGGCCTCCCGTACTAAAGGAGGCATTACAGGTCATAAGCACGGAGCTCACGCGAATCTACAACAGCTGCATTACACAGCGGTACTTTCCGGACAACTGGAAATACGCGAGTATTTCTATACGCCCGAAAACCGGTAAGGATCTCACGATCGCGGCGAGCCACAGGTCAATCAGCCTTCTCCCTGTTTGGGGAAAAGTTTTCGAGAGGCTTCTCCTCGCACGAATCCTTCCAGCTGTTCTCTCTCGAAACCTAATTCGAAACGAGCAGTTCGCCTTCAGCCCGGGCCACTCCGCATCACTACAAGCACTTTGCATGGCGCAGCAGATATCCGCTGATCTGCTTCTCACACAGGATGTACCGGTCATTTACCTTGACATGGTACAAGCCTTCGACAAAGTGCCACACAGCACACTGATCGCGAAACTTCGGCGCTGCCTTCCACAAGACGTAACCGAAATAATTACATATTTCCTCTCAAATCGCACATTCATGGTAAATGTGGGAAAAGCGGCGAATTGCTGCCGGGGTCCCTCAGGGCTCCGTCCTCTCTCCGCTGCTGTTCTCGCTCTATGTAAATGACATACCACAAATACTACGAATAAAACTATTCCTGTACGCTGATGACATAGCCATCTTAGAAAAAGGAATAAACCTTTACCATAAATTAAAAATACTACAGAAACAGATGAACCTGACGCTTAAGTGGGCGGAAAAAAAAACACTTGACTTTTTCAGCGGAAAAGTCGCAGGCAATCTGTTACACTCGCCGCAAACAAAAACACAAAACGGTACACACCGCCAAAACAAATTACACTAGGTACTCAAAAATTGAAGTGGGCACCCAAGGCAACTTATCTGGGTGTCACTTTTGATCGAAGGATGGGCTGGCATTTACATGTTAGGCGAATTCGATCAAAACTTCAATACAGAGTTCGCCTCCTACAACCTCTTTTGAGGGAACCCTCACTCCCCTTGGACCTTCGTCTGGCACTCTACAAAACGTGTTGCCGACCTGTGAACACCTACGCCGCGGCGACGTGGTGGACCACAGCAAAGAATTACAAGGACACACTTGAGCTCGTTCAGAACAGAGTTCTACGGCTCATAGCGCGCCCTCCGTTTCGGAAACGGTTGAAAGTTCTCAGAAAGGGGCTCGACATCGAGTCTTTCACCCAATGCTTGAGACGGCTTTCTTTCAATGAAGCCTATCAAGCCTTTCAATCAAGCGAAGCACCGGCTACGCTAAAACAACTAGCCTGATATATCCTAACTATTGGGCATAGAAGACAAGTTCTCCCCTCGGATATATTGAGGGCATAGTGCAACTCACACATAAAACGACAAAGTCATAAACATGACTGAACCTAAACACCGATCTGGCAAATGACAAAGGTCCGACGCGAACCTACACCAACAACCAACACAAAGCAGTAAAACGCTATGAGTGCGAACTGCAACAAACAAGATAACACACAGACATTCGGCTTCGCCGGAAAAAAAAATAAAGAAAAAGAAAAAAAAGCTCAGACCTCCATGAAGAATCATTCGTGCAAGACCCTAAAGTGTTGTATATTGACGAATTCACCAATAAACTATGGTTCTATTATTTAATGTACATTTACATTTTCGGATTAATTGGACAGTTTGACTTAAAAGATAATATTTTGATGAATTAAATGTTTCACAAAGCCATATTATGTTCATTTATATTCGAGGTGTACTAAACATTCTATGATTTATAAAATGTTAATTACATTATTGATTAAATCCATTATCTCGAGATTTTGAAAGAGCCGCCTAGATAGCCGCGTTTCACTATAATCACAGTGCAGATACCGTCATAACTGGTGAACGATTTTAACGATTCAACCATGAATCAACGAATCAGTCTACGTATATGTGATGTACACCCTCCGGAGTCTTAGGTTTCCCGCTCAGCCCAAAGAGTATATAGCTGGCTCAGCCCGCGCAGTACCCCTGCAGTACGTGCAGTACCCGCAGTACCTTGGACCTGGATGCCATTGGGTGCCATCACCATTCACCAGTGTGCTCAGCTTTGTTAAAATAATTCTTCCCAGAGCAAAGCAGCTGAATAACAGTGGGTTTTAGGTGTTTGTGTGCATAAATTTAAAGGAAATAACGACAATGAAATTTTGGCAAAACGCATAAAAATAACGTGTACATTGTAACGATTTATTTGACGTAGGTAATTTGTTTGTGAGGATAAATCCGTATGTTTGATGCAGCTAGTAAATAGGTCAATAATGGATGTTTTAAAAGCGGAGATTGAACGGAAAAGAAAATTGTTGGCTGATAAAAAAATATTGGTAAGGAACAGTATTTTTAATATGTCATTTTGGATTTACGTTCAAGATTGTCAGCAAGATGTTTTATAATATTAGTACTTATATAACGTTTATGCAAGACAATGAGTCTTATTCTTTCCCCGAAAAGTGTTGTATGGTGTATAAAATGTTGTATACATTCTGATTGTAAGAAAAATAATTTACGTTCCAGGACCCAAGTAAGAAATTTTTTAAACGAGCAGATTTGGTAGCAAGAGAAAAAGAAGAATATCAAGAAAAGTATGGTTTAAATAGCAGCAATGGGAAACAAGACTTAAAACATTCTCAAAGTATTTATTGTGTGTTATGTACAAAGTCTTAAATGTGCCCTTAATGTATAAAAAAAATAAGGCAATGCGTTTTAATGACAGGTAAAGATTGTGGAGAAGAAACTGTAGCTACAGATAGTTCAGATCATGCTACTTTGCCAAGGCGGGAGGTGATCAGGAGACTTCGTGAGAGAGGAGAACCTGTTTTCCTTTTTGGGGAATCGGAAGTTGATGCCTTTAGAAGATTGCGACGCAGTGAAATTTTAGAACCTGAAGTAAACAAAGTAGGTAGAGTAATTGCTAATTTGTTATTTTGTGTTAATTCTCACTTTTTTCTATTTATTTGATTGTTTGTTGAAAATAAAAATATAGTAATTATGAAATATTTGTTTTTCTTACCATAGGGCTTAAGAAATGATTTTCAAGAAGCATTGGAAAAAGTTGATCAAGCATTCCTTGATGAAATTCTAGCTTCTCAAGTACAAGATGCAGAAGGTCACAGTTCTACAGATGTAAAAGTACAAGATGATGGAATTACTTATGATGAAATTCAGAAGATGGCTGTCAATTTGGGAAAAGGTGACAGAGATCTTGATATGAATGTCATCACTCTCTTCATTCAGGTAATTCTTTTATATACTAATCTGTATTTTTCTTCATACTAAGGTATATATCAAACATTAACCTGCAAATGGTAGATCTGGGTCATATCTGACCCAAACATACTTAGTAAAACTTTTCCTCTCTTTTGCTCTCACACGAACTTGAGAATCCTTTCTTTGATTTCATCTGCACCCTTTGATGTGGTTTCAGCATTCGGGCACTATCTAATACGGTATAATGTAATAGTAACAATTTTTGTTAGAAAATGCATCTTTATTGGCTCTCTTATGACTCACCTTACACTTAATGTCACAATTATTTAATAACAAGAATAATATAACATAATAATAATAAGAATCCATAGTTTTAGAGAGAGCAATGATTTTTACTTTCCTGTTTACGGAGTAGTATGCATAGTATTGTGGCCATCCCGTCGTGCCTCTGTCTTTTTTAGAATTATTTCTTTACCTAATTTATGTATTACCTTGCTATCCAAGCCCTCTGTTTATTAGAAATTTTAAACTAATAATACTGCCTACGCGAGCGGCATTCCACTGAAAAATTTTTAATAGGTCGTGGGACTGAATTTTAACCCTGTACAGGATAGGGAAAATGATATTTCTTATTATCTATTGGCAATAGGCAGGGAAATTATCTGTTTACAACCCAAAGGAGAAATAAACATTGTTGAATTTACATTCAGCACCGTATTCGGAGGTACAACCTATTTATGCCACAGCGCCACTTTCCTCCATGACGCTGCTGATAAAATCAGTTCATACAAAAACAAAAACCCCCTTTGCCCTTTCTTTTCTTTTTACAATAACAAAATATCTAATCTAACGTTCACACTTACTGACAAACTATTTCTGCTATTCACATTCACATTGTGCGCTTATAGTAGTAATGGCCATTTACATTGTTTCAAGTTTTACAAAAGTATGATACAATGCTTGGCCTTCCTTTAAAATATGTGCTGTACGCACAGGTAATATCTGCCGAATGTTCAGACGATAGTGTTGCCTTCAGATTGCGAATCCATTCCTTCCCTCAGGTGGGTTTGTTCCAAACGTTTCACGAATCCATTGTGTTTCAGGCAACCTACTAATATGTCCTACTTATGGCTCCCCACTCTTTACTACTACGGTCAGCACATGCTCCCCATACACCCTTTCTCTGATAAAATTCACTCTCAGAAGTCATGAAAACTTGCCAACACATGCCACACTATGTTATCGGCTCGACATCTAACATCCCTCTGTGTCTTCTCCAGTCAGTATAGTCTTTTGATTGTTTTTTCAACAAAACAAAAATGTTCGTTTTCTTGTCTCATCGAGATCTTTTAGAACTTTCTATATTTTTGTTACCTCTTGATTTCACACTTTTCAGAGGTTCTGAAAATGTTGCTTTTAATTCGCCGCTTTCCTCAAAGTTTATTGCCCTCTGGTTCACCTGCTTTGCCGAAATTCCAACTAATTTCGAAAGCTACTTACACCACTTGTCTATATTCAATTGTTTTTCAGTGTATCTTTCTGCCTTTTAAGTTTTTCTTCTAAATTTGTGTGCCCCCTTTTCGAAATGCTTCCAGATGATCCTTAAAATTGTTTATTTTCCTAACTTGCTTTCTAGTTCAGAAGTTCCCTTGTTATTTAACGAGAATATAAAATTCTGTTCTGCGACCACGTTGTCACTCGTTTTTTCTTCTACCGACTTATTTACTAAAACATTATTTTCCTAAACAAAAGTACTTATTTTTGACAGTTTATTGTACTGGGGTCCTGCGTACGGTTATAGTATAGGGAAAGTTATATAAGGCTGCGGAAAATTATTCTCTAAATTTCAATGGAAATACACATTTTGGGGACCCTTATATAGAAAAAGTTGTTCTTTTCGAAACGTTCGTCTGTGCGATACTAGCATATAAACCATGTCTAGGATTTTTTCGAAATTGAAGAAACCTCGATCCATCTGGCTTGCGTCATCGCTTTGAGATTTTGAAAAACATTCTTTAAAATTTTGGGGGACTTAACTGAAACCCTCCCAACATTTTCAAAATTTTCTCCGAAATGGCTCCAATTTTTTATTTCAATTTTTTTGTAAGAATAATGTAAAATACATTTATAATAGTGGAATATGTGCGATTGTCACGGTTAATTCTGAATTTTCGAAAATTTCAAAAGTATGATTTTTTTTTGGTGTCTTCCTACAACTACAAAATTAAAGATGGAGGTTTTCCCTTGAAATTAAATTTGTTGTCCATAATTAGTTATTTTATTAAGGTCATTTACATTCTTTTTAACATTGTAGTAGTTTTCGAACAATATTTGCAATTTAAAAAAATAAGAGACAGATTTTCTCAAAATACGGTTCAAATTTTTCTTTAAACTTTGGGGAGGGATAGTGCTAAATGTACTCGATGAGTTGATATAAAATATTGAGTGAAATACGTGCAATTTTAAAAAATAACGAAAACAAGATATTCTTGACAGGTTTTTTATACTTCTGGTAGGGTTAGAACTAAATAAGCACAATAAAGTATCATACATGCTATTTTTTCCTATTTTAATTTTTCACATTTTCTAACATTTATTTTCTTTCTAGCCTCTCATGCCATTATTTACATTAGTGGCGATTTCTTTACCCTATTGCATGTGTGGGTATATAGTCATTAAATAATGTCTTATAAGTTTTTCAAAACTTTTCTGTGAGAACTAGCTGAAATTTCCACATCTTTAGGAACCATCCAGCGCCATTTTCTCAAAATTGGCTCCATATGTTTTCGTCATGCGTGTCGAACAAATAGAATTACACTCTTTAATGTGACGTCAAGTTCATTTGGGGGTATCCTTTTCTTTATTCAAAAATTACACAAATGTTTTTTTAATCTCTCACGCCATTAATTTGCACATTTCCAGGGATTTGTATACATTATTGCACCAGTGAGTTTAAGTGCTTCAAATGAATTCGAATAAAGTTTATCGAAAACTCAATCAATTTCTGGGGAAAAGAGCTTCAAATATCGCATTTACAGTAATGTTTACATGTCATTTTCTTACAAACTGCTTCAAATTTTTCAAAGAAAATTGCCATTTAGGGCGAGGTTTTACTCTTTCTTTAATATTCTTTAAATAACATTTCAATTCTACTATTCGGATACCGAAAAATTGAGAAAAATAAAAAAAATTAATGGTGCTATAGAATGCTACAATAATTCTTTTTCAGTTGTTTTTTTGTCTCGGCTACCTATTCAGACTAGGCAGTCTTACCAGCTGCCATCTACTGCCAGCTAAGTACCTTTTTAAAAAAATTCTTAATTTTTCGGTTTGCTAATTGTAGAACCGAAATATTATTTTCAGAACATTAAAGTATTACCTCGTCTCAAATGACAATTTCATTTAAAACTTTTGGAGCCGTTTAAAAAAATGGTGTTTAAGCCGTTTAAACATACCTGTTAATTTGTAAATTGAAGCTAATTTTCACAAAACATTGAGTTTACAAAAAACTTTAATAAAAGTGACTTGAAGCACTTTAACTCACAAGTACAGTAGTATTTACAAAGTGCAAGAAATCTACATGGTGTGAGAGAGATTAAAAAATTACATTTGTGTTGAAGAAAAAAATACCCCCAAAAGAACTTTATATTAAAGAATACACTTAGCACTATCCGTTCGAAAAGTTTAAAGAAAAAAATTGGAGCAGTTTTTGAGAAAATAGTGTTTGAGCTTTTCCGAATAAACGGAATTTTGAGAGTTTTCACAGAAATCGTTTGTGTTTCAGAGAGACATTATCGTATCACATCTACAGCACTCATGACAGACACCATATGACATTTAAAGCACTGTTACTCTTAAATATAATTATGTGAACAAATCGCCATTAATGTAAATATGAACGAGGTGAGAAAAATCGCAAAAGAAATTTTATTTATCTAATTTTTGAAAAAATAAAAAGTAGAGCAATTTGTCATTTATGTCATCTCATAGTGCATTTAGCATTATCCCTTCCAAACGTATAAAGTAAAGAAAATTGTAGCAGTTTTTGTAAAATCTCGTTTTTGTATTTTTGAAAAATTGCAAATATTGCATGCAATATTACGCGAAAACAAGTAAAATTTTCCGAATAATGTACATGATCTTAATGAAAGAACTGAGGAGAAAAAAGTTAACTTGACTATGCCATCTTTATAGGTTGTATTTACTCTATTCTTCAAGGAAATTTAAACAAAGAATTTAGAGCCGTTTTGAGCAAATTTTGAAAATATCCGGGTGGTTTCATGTAACGTACCCCTAAATTTTAAAGAATGTTTATCAAAATCTTAAACGACGACTCTAGTTTTCAAGGGTTTCTTCAATTACAGAGTGGTTTACGTGCAAGTGGTGTTCACAGCTGGACGAACGGACCGTTTGAAAAAAAAAGTTTTCGATAAGAGGATAAACATTACACAACTTTCCCTACATTACGTATGTTATTCTGTGTATACATAGGTAAACGGTAACAAAACTAATACGAGAAAGTACTACAAAACTCAATACGTGCCATTCTGTAGCATCACTAGGTACTTTCTCGTATACATACGCATTATGCCGAGTAATTATACGTAGTATAGAGTAAGTTAATTAATGCTGCGGAAAAAAAAAACAATTTTGTGGATTTAAACGGAAATACACATTTTGGGGTATTTACTTCTAATGAAGTGTTTCGAAAACTCAAAACTTTTCAAGAAAAAGAACTTCGAATTTAGCATTTACAGTAAGACCACATGTTAAAAAAAATCAGCCCCAAATATATGAAGATTCACTTTTCTTTAATATTCATAAAGTAATCTTTCGGTTATATATTATTCAGTAAACTGAAACAACAGAAAATTTTCCAAAAAAGAAAAAGAAAAAAGCTTTGGCCGACGATACGTGGCGGCGGCATGTGTCGAGACAGAAATGGTTGGCGACACCAAAAAAATTAAAAAACTAAATAGTACAAGGTCTGTGCCATTATGTAGCACCACTAGTTACTTTCTTGTATA